CCCGAGTCATATTACCTTCTAAGTCTCAAGATTTTTGTGTGAAATTTCCTTTATGGTGTTGGGGCCCCCACTAACCTTGTTTGTTTAAAGGTATGTTCTATTTAGTGTTCTTCAGCTATGTTCAATATCCAGCCACCACATTTTAAGTTGTAACACAATAGTTGAATGTCATGACTCTCTTTTATGTTTTGTAATCATAATATTATTCCTACCTTAAATAAACGTAAAAGTTGATTTTATTCTCCTTTTTGTAATTATTGTAATTACCTTTTTCACTGGACCTTAAACTTAGAATGGGTTTTTGTTTACACACAACGCAACTTCCTTGGAATTTAAAATTGTTTACTTATTCTTGCATTTTTTATGTTTCACACTATGCACAATACTTAGTATGTTATTGTTACAATATTGATTGATATGTTCAGTTAAGTGACTTATACACACAGTTACCTACCACCGCATAACACAGAATGAACTTTTTTCTCTAGATATTTCACAAATATGGTGTTCATTTGTAATTATTAAGTATGAATTTATGTTTTTTATGTAACACTCATAAAGTTTCTTAAAAGCATCCAAAAACTTCCTAAAATTATATGAACTAGAATCCCTACATCGGCGTCGCCACATAAATTCACAGAAATATCCTTCGTAGTGCCTGTAGCATATAAGCATTCTGTACCGCGCCATGCACATGGGGAAAAATCCCTCTTTGTGATTGGATTTGGCTTCCGATGACATTATTTCGTCTACACTTAAGAGGGCCTTGACTTTGCTTGGGCTCGATGGTACATCTCCATACCGTTTATTTACGTTTTAATAGCAGTACCGAAAAGATTATTATGTGTGTTGTATTTTTGTTATACTTCTTACAACACTGCAGTGTGGTGAATTTAATACAAAAAAAAAAAAAAAAGTAGCGATTATTTTCCTAGAAAGAAAAAGTATTATTTCTTCATGTGCTAGCTTCGTAAATATGTATTAATTGCAAAGATTTTTAATAAATGTATTCTTAATTTAAAATCCTTCATATTTAATGTGTTGTGATAAATATTTCATGTTCATTATATACCATTCTCTGCAGATGCAATCTCCGAAAGCATGAGACAAGTCAGTTTTGGAAATAGCAAAAACGATGCAAAAACATAGTATACAGTAAATTCATAATATTCAAAATCAGTCTGAAAAAATAAAAATTTCCTGAATTGAGACCAATATAGATTTGGAACAGAGAAATAGATATACGTATTTTTAATTGAATGATTTATTCTTTAAGGCAACAGAATATTAGAAATAGAAAGACATGGACATTAACATGGAAATAACTTCACATTTTCTGGAATGGAAAACGAACAGAATTCAACCAAACTGCAATAATAATAGTATATTTACTAGGCACACAATGCCCTTACAATTGGATCGAGATCATCGTGTTTTCGTTTTTGCATTAAATTCATGAAGTCAGCTGTTTGTAATATAATCTCAGCGCTTAAGATTGCCTCTGATATTAACATCACCTTTGAAAGATTTTATAATTTTATTATTACATGAAACAGGAAGCTATGTGCAGAACGCTGCGACTGATTTTTTTCGTTTCAAAGAAAACAAACGGTAGTTTTCACGCTTCCGTGTCACTTATGCGTGTCATTAAACGAGAAAAAAAATAAGAATCCCTCTTAAACGCCATTACACTAAGAGAAAATGATGTCATCGGATATTATGCCCAATCATAAATACGGACCTTTCCCCATGCGCGTGGCGCTGTACAGAATGCTTATATGCGTGCCGGTATCCTCCGACGTTCCATTTCCTTCCTACAAACAGGACGCTTAAATAGCTTTTAAGTAAACCTTCCTTTACCACAGCAGTCAATTAATGCTCTTTTCCCCTTTCGTTCCAAAACGTACAGAAACTACAAGTTAATCTTACCACATTCAGCCATTCCACCGTCTAAACCACAAAACAAGCAATGTACTTCCTAACCAATACACACCACAAGCCCTTATGAATCTTTTCCCATCATTTAAAATTTACCGCAATCATGCAATAGATTACGTCATGATAGGGTTTCCATAACATTTAACTACTCAGGTTATCATAAATGAAACAACTTGGCAATAAATGAAACATCAATTTGGCAATAAATGAAACAATAACTTCGCGATAATACGAGAGGCACCCTTCAATCTACTCTAACCGCAACTTAAAATTTTGTGAAAAATTCGCTGCTGTGTCCGAATTAAATTGCACATTATAGCATAATCTGAGGATAATAAATGTGATGAATAAAAGAAAGCAGAGAATCGTGGCATTTTTCACTGCTGCAAATTGTTTGGTGATATTGGAATTATAACACTTTCCATAATACTTTTTTCGAAAGTCTTTTTGTTATAAGTACTGCCTGAGAACAAAATACGAGGCACGTCCAGAAAGTAAGTTCCGTTTCAATTTATCTCCGCTGCAGCTCTGCGATGGCAGTTCCGCACATGCGCAGTAGACGCTCTGTATCAAGGAGAAGAAACGCGCGCCAGTTGGAGATCGCTGTCCGTCACGTACGCTTTGTTGTGCTTGTTTACAATGTCGGTGTTGATTGAAAATCCCGCCGCTTGTGAAATCAGATCTGTGATTCGTTTTCTGAATGCGAGGAAAGTGAAACCTAGTGAAATTTATCGGCAAATTTGCGATGTTTACGGACCAAAAGCGATGAGTGATTGAATGGTGAGAAGATGGGTTTGAAAGTTCAATGACGGACGTAGTGATGTGCACAATGAAGAACGAAGTGGGCGTCCATCTTTGGTTACAGAAGAACTGGTTCACGCGATTGATGACAAGATCCATGAAAACCGAGTGTTTACAATTAGTGCTCTCGCTATGGAATTTCCCCAAATTTCACGATCACTAATGCATGAAATTTTTACCGAAAAACTGAAATTTCGTAAACGTTGCTCACGTTGGGTACCAAAGATTCTTACTGAGCAACACAAAACAAAACGGATGGGTAGTGCACTTCAGTTTTTGACCCGTTATGCTGAAAGCGGCGAAGAATTTCTGACACAGATAGTCACAGGAGATGAAACTTGGGTTTCTTACGACACCCCTGAAAGTAAGCGGCAATCAATGGAATGGAGGCAACTTCATCCGCAGCAAAGGTTAAGCCGAAGCAAATCTTGACACCTCGAAAAATGATGTGCACAGTGTTCTGGGACTGGAAAGGCATCTTACTCATGGATTTCTTACCGCGTGGTCAAGCAATCAGAACAGATGCTTATTGCGAGACACTTCGGAAATTGCGCCGCGCAATACAGAATAAGCGCCGAGGATTTCTGCCAAAAAGTGTTGTTTTTCTTCACGACAACGCACGACCACACACTGCACATGTGACGAAAAACCTCCTACAAGGATTTGGCTGGGACGTGTTTGACCATCCTCCGTACAGCCCTGACCTCGCTCCTAGCGACTTTCATCTGTTCTTACATCTTAAGTCTTTCCTTGGCGGTCAACACTTGAACAATGACGACGAGCTGAAAGAAACTGTTTCCAACTGGTTGAAGACATAGGCGGCAAATTTGTATGAAGAAGGTATACCAAAACTTATGCCACGCTATGACAAATGCCTGCAATATTTCGGCAGGTATGTGGAAACGTAGTTTAAGAGTTGTTGAATTTTGTGCAATAAATAACTTTTCTGTAGCTGTACACAATTTACTTTTATTACCAAACGGAACTTACTTTCTGGACGTACATTGTATCTTGGAGCTAATCAAGGAATTTATTTCATCAGTTGCTATATTCATTAACTCATTAGTTGCTATAAAAGATAAAGATACTGTATCTTTTGCTTGTATTTTTTTCTGTATTTGCTTCTAATTTACACGTTTCTTTAATCAATGTTAAATGTTTTGAGTTGGGTTTAAATCAAGATTGTTACTTGGATATTCAACAATCCTTTTACTGTTAACACTGTATAGAAAATTACTGTTACACTAATGTAGGAAAAATTTTCGGAACAGCCCAATCAAAATGCGAAAGCGGAAAATTTTATCACGGAAAATTTGGCAAGCTGATGGTATCAAGTTTTGAATGTAATATATCTCCGATGTATTTGTTTCAGTTTCAAGTGCCATTGCTCAAACTTTTTCTCATGTCTATTGTTCATATATTCGCCACTGTGATATTAAGCAAAAGCTTAGCAGTAGGTGTTGTGTACGTCGAACAATATATTTTCCAATATATATTCTTACATATTTCATGACATTACTTCCATATATACTTCTTTTGCGTCACTGTATATAAGAAATATTGCCCTGCTTTTCTGTGGCAAGGTCAGTATTGCTGGAGTTAGTGGTAGCCTTTGCTGAGGCTGGCAGAAAATTGCAAGTGATCTGGAGTTAATTAACTGCAGTTAATTATGATTCGCTAGTGAGTTATATAAGGAAAGTGTTTCTGTATGGTTTCTAGTTAATAGCTATCTTAAAGTAACATGTAGCGAAGCCATGTTTTTCTGTGAGTTATCAGACTATAAAACACTATTGTTGAATTTATATAAATTCATTCTTTTTACATAAATTTATGTAATATTTATGTAAATTTATTATTATTTATACGAACTCATGTTCATACGTACACTATCTTTACAAAAGTCTTTACCCAGCCTTTATTTTTGTAGCTGTTAGTCGTAGAATTGCATACTTCCAGTTACAAAATCATTTGGTTAAGAGTTTACAATAGGATGCCCCTTGATATAATGGGGGATTTTTATGATGCCAAGAATGGTATTAAAAAAGTGATGTTTCCAAGATGACGGTCATCCAAAAAAAAACGCGATAACTTTGCAAAAACAACAAAAGTGCTCACCTCGTGTGTTCTTGGCTTACATCTCATCATCAGCGGCGGATTACTGCTCCGCATACATAATGCAAATCATGTAGTTCCCGTAATTGATCCTTTTCTGATCCCGGTATTGCTGACGCTACATAAACTCCGCAAAGTAGTAATACAAAATGCCACCCAACGAGTGTCGAAGACCCCGCTTGCGAAATCTCGCGCCTAATGTGTCTCCTCTTGTCCTGAGTGATGCTGGTATGCGGGCCAATTTCGATCGCCTTTCTCGCGACAAACCCTCTTATAGCCATTAAATTTATCCTTGAGCTTGACCAGACACATATCTTTCTTGCAGACTTGCCATTCACAACGAGAACTAATTAAATCTTCCTTCTACACAATAATCAGGATATAGTTTTCTTACCCTTTCGTTCTAAATCATGCAGGAAAAACGACTATTTATCTTACCAAATATACTTCTTTGTAGAATTGACAGTGATTAATTAGAACCAGCCAGATACCAAAACCAAAGGTCAATTAACGGTAATTACAATTATAGTAATTCAAAATTCGTGATCTGTAGTACGTGATACGCGTCCTACAAACCGCGCAGCCCTCAGTCACTAAACTACGAAATTCCATTTAGATTAAAGTTAAGAAACTTTGGCTTTTAACAAAAAACAGCTACCATAACATTAGGGAAACAAAATCAATTATGGGTAACCAGTAAACCGGTAACAGCATCGGTATTTCGCGATAAATAAAATGGCATCCTTTCTTATACTAGAATCAATTTTTTTAAATGATGCCAAGAATCATGCTTTCATATTTTTTTAATTAAAAGAAGTAATTTTGTATAAAAATGAAACTTAACATTTTACACATTCCTTCACTCCCTATCTTAATATTTATGGAAATATTGTACTTGTTATGAAAATGAAACACGAAAGGTTTGACTCGCGTAAAACTTAAACTGATCGAGGTATCTGAGTATTAAAATCGGGAATCATACTCATAGGCCAAACAAAAATTGAAGAGCAAAAATTGAATAAAAATAAAATATTGTTTAGAAAAATATTTCTGATGTTAAGAGATTACGTGGCGAGCATTTTATCTGTGAGAAATAACGATCAATACAATGTTTCTTCAAAATGGAGATCTTATTCGCAGAATCTTACAAATTCTTGTTTCAGAAAGCCCAGGCAAGCTTCGGAATCGGTACATGTCCAACACGTAATATTATTTGCGATAACCCAAAATGAAAAATCTTTATACTTTAATGAATTTTTTAAAATTACCAAATTATGTTTCTAGAGTAAAAAAAATGAAAACATTAATAACGCATATTTAGAGTTTGAAAACTTATAAAGGTACTGACGAATTATCCGTCAACCGGATAAGTAGTGCGATTCAGCGCCAGTTATCGATGACCAGTGGCGGTTCGTGGCTAAAATTAGTGGGGGTGCTGTTTCAAAAAAATTTAATCTTTGTTTTAAAATTATGTAAAAGGAAACAAACATGTATAAAAAGAAAATTTCTTTTGAAACTTCATAAAATGTTACAAGAAAAAAAATTGAACATTTAATTACTTTAACCAAAATTATTACAGTTCAATCTTTGTCTAGTCATTTAAAAATGAAATCCATTCCTCTTGTTTTAATTTGCGCGTAAAGATCAATAATTTTCTCCTTGATCTCTGAATGACAACTGAGGAAATGTTTCTTTATTGAAAGCAATGCAAGCGCATTTAGTCTTTCCGAATCTTTAGTGCTTCTTAGAAAAGTTTTCATTCTTTTCAATGTTGAAAAGTAGCTTTCTGCCTCTGATGTAGTCATGGGAACTCTCAAGAGAATTTTTATCAGTTTCGTAATTTCACTAAGAACATCATCTAGATTATTTTCGAAGATAAATTTCAGTAGCTCAATTAATTTGCAGCATTCATGGATATCAGACCTACAATAAAATACTTTTAGTTCAGTTACAAGCTTTTCTTTTCCAATCATTGGATATGCTTCAGTGGTCAGTACTATTTCTTCTGTAGAATGTTCATTCCTAAAACTAAGCATTTCTTGTTAAACAATTTAGCAGCTGCTAAGTGTTTAGTGGAAGAATATCTATGCATTATATCAATGCATAGTATAAAGTCACATATTTCCTTAGCTTCTGCCATCAGTGTCATTCTACAGAAAAATTCTTACAGTACTTTGAGTTTCTTAATTCTAAAATAGCAGTTTTGAAAACTTTAAACATACTAATTTCTCTGGATTGCATTTAGTTGTATATTATTTCGAAATGAGATATCTGATAAAAAATCTCTAACCAAAACTTGAAATTATCATCATTTAGATATTTTAAAATTCCTGTTGCTTTTGCAATAGTTTGATCTGCATTTGATGTTGACTGAATTTCAGTAAGGCAATTTTTTAAAAGTTGCAAATTTTCATGAACTCTGTTTATGGTCCGTATGATGAAGCTCCACCTCGTGGAGGAATACCACACGCGCGGAGTAAAAATAAATCACGTTTTCAGCAACATGCCACAATTTCGGCACTGCAAGAGCGACAGTGCTCTTCTCTCTACCCGGCTCGCGTGCTGCTTTCTGTGTGCGCATGCGCAGAACAGCCAAACACCACGTTGCTGGAACTGTGAAGCACGCAGTTCCAAACAAAGACTTTCGTACCATTTTCACAAAGTGGGTGATAGCTACTGACATTAACCTTAAGGATTATGTATTGTAAAAGTATAAAGAAAGAATTAAAGACTAAAAGCACACTATATTAAATATTAAAAATAATAATAAGTGGAAATAGGGGATGCTGCAGTTCCACAGTGCTTATTACGAGTCGCCACTGTCGATGACTCTATCCTTTATAATATTAGGAATGCAAACTCGATGATTTTCACTCTTGCATTCAGTTAACCTAATATCCGAGGTTTTTTGTATTGTTCCAGACTGGATTTTAAATATCTGTTTATTCTAGATTTACATAAAATTATTTTATTCTTATAATTGATGTAACTTTCTATTTCCGTTTCGAGTTTCTTTTCATCATCTATCAAAGATACAATTTCTTCATTCTAAATTATAGAGTTCTTTCCTTTTTTCAATTAATAATACTAAAGGATCTTCTAGTAAATTTTCAGTATCACTATTATCTTTTACGTCGTAATCTACTTTGTTTACAATGTCAGCTACTGATATTCTGAAAGCTCCACCCTTTTTAATAGGTGTTTTCATTTTATCCATTTGAACATAATTGATGCAAAATACTTGCGCCATTATTTTATTTCACTTTTTTGACACCAGTTTGTCGTCGCTAATGATTGTGGGTTCTTTTCATCCGTTATTTGGCATCAAACATCAAATTGTATTTTTTAGTAAACGTTTTTATTCATAGTAAATACAACACAACAACTATATCTTCTATATATAACTCACAAATCACTTCTTATGATTTTCTTTTTGTTTGAACCGTTCAGAGAGTTCTATGTGATTCGTTTTGCTGTTTTTCTCTGCATCTGCGCTGTAGTTAACGTCCTTAGAAAGCGCAAGTGGCTAGCAATCTTCTTCTTCTTTTTAATCCAAATATCCCCGTGAATATTTTTATTAACTGAACACAATCTACTCATAAGACGAAATGCACTTCTAAAATCATAATATATTTAAATTCACACTGCATATTTTTACTTAAATTGTGTACAGGATCTCTGTATATATACAACACACAGAAGAGTAGTTATGAGTTATATCTTTCTTTCATTCGTCGATTACTAGTTCTAAAAAAGCCCCGGTTTCGTCTTGACGGCTATACGCGAATCTCTTGATACAAATCTTTCGGTGAGAGTTTCAACTCGTATTATCTCGTCGACCGTTGACAGAATTTCGACAATGGTCGCCAGTGTTGAATTCTAAAGGATAAGGTCATCCACACTTGACTGTACATACCTGGTCGACCGGATAGCACGCAAGTATCGAAAAATGCATTTTACCAATCGAAGAGAAAATTGGGCACAGTATGCAATCATATGTAAGATAAGAAAACATTTGGCATTTCAGGCAACAAGTAGGCCGTAATGTTATGTATCAGAGAATATTAGCATTTTTTTACTTATTGAATTAAATACTATAAAAATTACAAAATTCTTAAATAATGCATTAAATCCAAATTTATATTAAATTCCTTCTGTATATGTATATTAAATTACTTACGTTTGCTGATACTGAAGGAGTTATATTTCAATTTCATTTGGAAATAAATGCTTTTTTAAGCAAGAACTAAGCCAACGCCGTTTCCTCTCGCCAAAATCGCTACAGAAGACCACTCACGTAAATTCATTTATGTTACGTTATCTCATACAGATTCAAATAGCGGGTTTGATGGGGTTTAGTGGTTGAGTTTCTACTCATGTGCTTATTTCGAAATGCTCATTTTAACCCCGAAGCAATCACTGAAGATGACGACTCACTGAGAGACATAGAGGCTGCCTATTTGGTAAGAATTTCCCAATTGACTTCACAAACCTTCTCGATTTGTCGATGCAGTTTGTAAAAAAATGTGTCTCACGAAACGCTTTTAAAAATTCGTCGAGTAAAATTCACGATCGACCAGTGCATGGCGTTCCTAGGAGATTTGGAATATTATCTTTTATTGCGACTACCATATATCTTACTGCAATGGGCAGAAATTGTAAGAAGTATTGCACAAGTCCAATGTTAAAGTGCTGCTCTTGCTGTCAAAATAAAAACTGAAATATGTAGGTATAGATGTAAATATTGACGTATAAATAGTCATAACTTCTGAATCAAAGAACAGGTTATAGTTGGAAATTATTCATTGCGTTTTTCATCTCCTGGCCAAAATTTCCATGATAGTATCTACTTCCTTTCGATATTCTGGACAATTTATTCAACGAGTTCAAAGCGAAAGGAATATTTTCAGATTTCTTTTCCTCCTTTTAAGGTTTTTCTGAACTGAAGGATTTATAAAAGTTTTTTTAGCAATGTATGCATTAAATATAACCTTGAGTTATGCTGTGTTATACTGTTCAGTATTTGAAATAGATGAAGTTATTACATTTGCATGACAAGGAAAATTAATTACTGTGATGCTATGGATTTAGCGTAAAATGTGTCTAATTAAAAAATGCTTGCGCTTTTATGTAACATTCCTAACCAATGCAGCCAATTAAATGTTTCAATGATGTTGTTAAATATATTTATTTCTTAAATCAATGTATTAAAAATATGACGAGTTTTA